GTAATGATATTAGAGAGACATGAAGCGTATGAAGCGGGTGGGAAGAGGCACAGTCGCTGCAGGCCTTTGCTGCAACTCAGCTTCCTCATGGCAGTACAGTACTGCAGTGCCTGTTTATTTTTAGAGGCCGAATAATATTATGCCTTTTCAAGTTGAACTTCTATATATAGAGAGAGATGTATATAGGTCATGTGTGAATTGGAAAGGCATGAGAAGAATTTATGGGCGTTGGATTTTAGAGATGGACATATTTTTATGGTGTTTGATCTGACGGAGACAGTATGCTTCAATTATTCATTTATTTAATATATTATATAGTGTTTTTTTAAAAAAATAATTTAGAGGGGGAGTCAAATCATGATTGATACAAGATTTCTCAATTGATTCAATTATTTTTAACTAATTATTTTTTTTTTAACTCAAATGAAATTTAATTTTAACCCAACTCAGTTATTTTTAATATAATTAAATAATATTAATCAATTATTCTTACACATCAATCACTTTAATTCACTATTCATTAGCGAAAACGTAAAAGACTCTAATAAGATAAATAAGTTTCCTAGCAAATCTATGATGCCCTTAATAAATATTATACAAAAAGAAATAAATAATAAATACACACAAAAAAAAAATAATAATAATTAAACTAATGATGCTAACCGATCATGCTTGTCCAAAAAGGCCAACGGAATCTCGTCTCCATCATTCTCCTCCTCCTGAAAAGGATTCGCCCTCGAATCCGACGCAATCTCGTCTCCACTGGAATTATCACCATGGGAAGGCACCAAGTGTTTGACATTACATGCATTCAGTGTTTGAATGTGAGACGGCACCTTTGCGCGACTGTCATTGTTGGGGATACGTCGAGACAAAAAAGACTTCCCACCTCCAATGGTCTCCACGCTTGCCTGTCGCTTCCACTAGATGTTGCAGCCTACCAGTAAATCGATCAGTCCGACCATTGTTGCTTTCCCCGATCTTTCACAAAGGATTCCCAATGAAGAGCCGCATCATCTCTTTCTATACCAAAGCCTTCAATTGCGAGCTCAAGTCCCACACCTAAACATGGCTCGTATCTGCTCGAGAGGCACAAATATGAAAATTTTGGCGTATGCGGTTCAAGCCTCTTACATGAGGGATGTTGCGTAACTTCAAAATTAGAGAGCCTGAACCACCACCATAGACCCCCATCATCCTCAAACTTATCAAAATCTCCAGCCTTCACTAAGCCCAATAATCGAATTCCAAGAAATCTCACCTTTCGAGGGCATTTTGTCCAACACTATCAAGGCATCCCTCGCCGATCTATTTTCAACATATCCAGATATCAAGGAATTCCAAGTAATTAACAATGTCTTTGTTCTCCATGTTCTCAAACACATTTTCAATGGCTTTAACATCTCAATCCCGCATAAGCCCGAAAATCATCATATTATACAAGAATATATATCACGAGACGACATTTTATATACAAAAGATAGAGCATTTTCGTACGACCCCTCGTCATAAAAAAGAGGCGGACTCTCATATTCGGTCGATCCCATCTCATCCAAGAACTCGACAGCTGCCAGGCCCCGAAAATTCAGAGATCTCGACCGAAATGATGACATCCAACGCTGATCATTGGCAAACTGGCCCTCGTCCTGCGTCGCGATCGTACCGAACAAATTTACCTCGGAGATGATGTCGTCAAGATCATCGTCGAAGAACGACAGAGGCAATTGGGAGCGGGGCGCCTCACGAGTACCTTGACCACGTCCACCACGNNNNCCCCTCGGCAGCCACGTACTCCGCATGGCTCGCGTTTTGTACGATTGCCGTGTGCAACAGCTTGTTGAGCCAGTCTGATCTCCTCAACCACCATGGTCAGGTCTGCGATTTGGCGCCCCAGCGCCTCGAACATGGTGTTGCACCTGTCATCTGTAACATTGTTCCATTTGGCGACATCGCGTACGAATTGTACTGGTATGCTATACCAACTGCCGTAGCGAAATCGTAAAAGATTGAGAGAATCAGGAGAAAACTCTCAAAATACTTTTATTTCAATCAAAATTCAACTCCCCCAAAACAATAGAAGGTGTGTCTTTAAATAGAACTTCTAATCCTAAGTAAATACCCTGCCCAACAAGTAAAAGAATCTTATAAAATAAATAAGTTTCCTAATAAATCTAGGATGCCCTTAATAAATATTAAAACAAAGAAAATAAATAAAAAAAAAAGAAATAAATAATTAAACAAATGATGCTAAACGATCATGCTTGTCCAAAAGGCCAACGCAATTATCTGCATTATCCACTCACATAATTTTATCTAACAACCACTTCACATCATATTTCTCATACTTTTACATCAAATCAACTTTAATTATTTTATTTTATATATTATTATAATATAAACTAAAAATACCACTAACTAACCATACCACATTTTTCAAAATTAACTAAACAAAACAAAAAAATTATATCCAAGCATCTCTTCACGGTTCTAGATAGCTCGAATTTGACATGTCTTTGTATCTGTTCCACTTTTATAAACTTAAGAACGATTTGAGATGAGTCATTGTCCCGAATGAACTTGTACTCATTTGGAATCGAGACAAGCAATATGGGATTGTGTCGATCCAGAACNTCACCCGCAAAACAAAAGAATTACTAAAAGGAGACATGACAACTCTATGAAGGAGACTAGATCCAGATGCAATTGGACTTGAACTGTAAAATTGGAAGAAAAAAAAAACTAAATAACTACAACACACACCTAATCTATGCAATAAATCCCTCCCCGGCCACCAGCTAACTTCACCTACACTCAGGGGCGGAGCCAGAATTTTAAATCTACCAAGGCTAGAATTATTTTTGACCAAAAAAAAAATCTACATATTTGTATACAACAAATTAATAAAAAATGTACATTTTTATTGCATTCCAACAAACATTTTGTTTTCTTCATTTTTCATTTACAACTTTTGTATCCTGTATAAAATTAACAAATGTTAAACAAAAAAATTATTAAACCAGTTATTTCATTTTACAATGAAGAACGAGATAATATTTGGTATTTTTCTCTCTTGATTAAACATTAAAATACCTAATCAAAAAGATGTTAACACAAAAATACAAAATCATCATGACCTATTGTAAAATAAAACTAAAAAAGTCATAGCTTGTTGTGAATATAAATCTACATCTGACAAATTATAAAAATTGTAGTAATTTATTAAACATGATTAATTTTCTATCATGATAATTTACTAAAAGAATAATAAAAACTAAAGAGCAAATATATTTTAAAATTTCCACCTGAAGAAGGAATTTGGGCGGACGGGTGGGCAAGGCTTTCAGACTCAGTCTTGCAGAAGGGTGATGTACAATTGCAACTTGCAAATTGAAAATGACGGCGGCCCCCTCTGTGTAATTTGATTATTAAATTAGTTACAATATTTAATTGGACTTTCATGTACATTTTATATTTATTGTTGGGCTGGGTAGGCTAGTTTTAAGTTTATTGAAATTGGGCCCGGGCTAAATTATAAAATTCAGTATACAATACATGAAATAGTGATTATTTTTTCCGGGCTACACCCCAAGTAAACTTGGTTGTACCTCCGCCCCTGCCTACACTACACCTACCCGAGTCAACAAATGGAAGATGGTCTACAAAGAAGAGTCTGACCTCAGCCAAGAATACCAATTTAGAAGCTCCACACTCCTAAACGGCTATGGTAGTCATATTTGAGACCATTGACCCCGATTAAGCCTTAAAATGCAAACGATCACCTCCAAATAGCACCCAACGGCCGAAACTCGCCATCCACCCGACTCTAAACATAAGAAGAGCCAGTCCACCCACGCCCAAGCCTGGCAGAGAAGCCAACCCCTAAACAGGAAAAGTGCAAATGCGGGGAGGGAAGAGGGGAGACGAGGGTGCCAGCCTTGGCATCGCACACGACGACCGATTCCCGTCGTCCACCCACCCTGAACAAAAGCAAAAGTCGACTCAACGAAGGAGGACTCCCAGAAAAGAGGGCTCCGACCTCAATGCTGGCTACCCAGAGCATGGTGGAGGGAGTTGAGGGGGCGGGTAGGCAGAAATTCATTTTTTAAGGTTTTTTTTTTTTTTGGGTCCTTTTATAGTATCATACTCATGAAAAATTACAAAGTTCATCATTCTCATTTTTAATTATTATAACCAATATAATCAAGATACCATCTTTAAATCGTCACCATTGTTCTCAGAAGAGTACAAATAACATAATCAAGACATAATTTAAATTTCATAAACTTCAATCCATTTTCGATCATCATAATCAATATCATCACAAGTCTTGAATAAATCATTGACTCCTCCTTAATAGCTGATGACAAAAGTCTTGGGCAAGGGGAGAGAACACTTCGTACTTGTTATGCCTATGTTTTAACTTTTTACTTGCTTAGATCAACTTTGGTAGAATACAATTTACATTTCTTAGAACCAGTGTTTTAAAAAACTATTTTTCGGTATTAAAATAACAAAATTAATAAAAATAATATTTTTCTATTATATCAGGGTCACAATTTACTTTTAATTTTGAACTAGAACAGCTTTAAATTAATTCAATAACTTATATTGTCAAAATTTAATAACTTATATTAAATTAAGTTATAAGTATTATTATTTAATAGTTATATTAGGATACTATATTAAATGTTTATAAGTAATAATACTTCAATGTTATTGTTTGATTCAATATTTAATATTTAATTAATTATTTGATTGAATACTTTATTATTTTCGCATACAAACATATGCAATATGTCTATAAAATAATAATTTTCATACTCAAACAACTCATGCAACACAAATCACTATTTCTACTAAACCAAATAGTTATTTTCCAAAATCAATGTATGTCCAACTACTCTCAAGTTGAGCATTAAACCAAACAACATTTTCTACTCTAACGAGTCTAAACTAGAGCATTAGATGTCTTTGCTTCTAATAAAGTCCACAAGAAAGGTCAAAAAGCCAAAGGCACTTTGAAATTCCTCTTGACTTTGTGCCACGCAGGTGCATAATTTGATTTTAATTACCTGTGCTAGATTACAAAGAATACTGCTTTTTTATTTTTTATTTTTCTGAGTAAAATTACACGGCTACACGGCTAACATACGCACTCAAATCTGCATAGCAATAGCCAATTTGAATTCCGTTAATGGGAGTGGCGGCCCCATTTTCCCCACCCTCTCTCTCTTCGCACTTGAGAAAAAGCTAGACTTCTTCTCATTTCAAAATCTCTTCACTTTACTCTTTCAAACCGAAGATTTTCGTTTTTCCTTTTATTTTCTTTGTTTCAACGGCAGCAAAGCAACAGATTCAAGATGCTCGACGGGATTCTTGGCCGTGGATTCAGTGTCAAATGGTGGAATTACTTCTTTTGTTTACATGAGTTGTTTTTTCAATGTTTTTGTGATGCGTGTTGTGTTCTTATGGTCTGTGTGTGTTTGTGCTTGAGCGCAGCAAATCTCTGATTAAGACGACACGGGCGAGGATCGAGGTTGTAAGAAAGCGAGCTGATGCGAAGCAGAGGTTCCTGAGAGAGGATCTGGCCAAGCTGCTGTCTAATGGGCTCGACATTAACGCCTATGGAAGGGTATTTCGTTTTTCTTCCCACCTTTTTTACCGAATCTATGATCTGTCTTGTTCGCTGAGATTTGTTGTGTTGGGTGCCCAACTGTAGCTCACATTGATTTGATTATTCTTTTGAGTGGGTTTTAAAAGTCTCTCGCCTTTCCTTACTCTGCTAAAACTGAAAGAGTTAGTCAATTTCGCATCACGGGCTCCAAATGTATTTACTCGGTTACTCCAAAACCATTTTAACACATAAATATCAAGATGGTAGGTCTTCTATTAGGCCGGTCTTTGCTGATATAGTTTCTTCCATTAATATACATACTTTCACTACAAAATGTAACACTTTAAAAAACAAATATAAACATAAGTATGACATTTGGTAGTATAACTATGTATGTTTGTTCACATATTATGACGGGTCGACCCACGTAACTATTTGACTGACCCACACAAGAATTTGCGATTTCAAGATGATCCAACCCCCAAGGGATAGAGATATTGTTGGGCAATCTGAGAATTGGTGTATCAAACTTGTAATCTTTTTTCTTTCCTTTTTTTTTTTTTTTTTTTTNTATGATGTGTGTTGTCCAATAATTTCATTTGCAAATCACTTACGATATGTGCATACTCTCTTTTTTAAAATGCAAAACAGACTGAAGAATTTGTGGCCGGAATGAATATCTTGTTCTGCTACGACTTTGTTGAGCAATGTTGCGAGTACACGGCTAAGCAGCTTTCGAAGATGCAGAAACAAGGGTATCTTCCATTGACATATGTTAAAGTGGCTTATTTTATTTCTCGCATGTCTGCTGCCTGTGTCTGTGAATCTTTGTGTTTGGAGATGATTCATTTTTTGCTGAGGTTAATTAGCCATGCTTCATGTACTAACATGTTACGTGGCATGATTAATTTAGGTGTTGCAATTGTTGAAGTAAATGTAAAATATGTGATGTTTCGTCAATGTCTCTAGTGAGAAATCAATAAGTAACTTTCATAAGGAGTGCACAGTGAGACATTAATATGATTTAGAAAAACTTGTATTTTGTTCCAAATGGTAGCCAAGCAAAGCCTTATGTCTAGAGTATAGAGCGCAGCACTGAGGTTGATGAATATTTCACTGAGGTTGATGAATAAAGCCTTATGTTTAGAAAAACTTGTATTTTGTCTATTCATCATAAAGGCCTAGCCGTTTCCAACTTGTGGTTTCCCTCTCTAGAATGTGTCTTTAAGTGGATTCATAAATTGAGTTTGCATATAAAGTGTTTTTCATAAAGTCTCCATAGCTGGTACCAAGATATGATGCTCCTAAAAACATTATTATAATTTTGAGCTGGTCCAGAAAAGCCCCTTTGATGATTCAGAGCTTGTGGGATGTCAATTCAAAAACATGATTATAAATCTGAGCTGGGTCGGAAAAACAATCATAAAAGAAACAATTACTAAATATCATAACTAGTCACATAAGATCAATGCTTGCAAAGAAAGTACCCCGTCTGCTTAGTTATTACATCTTAATGTCACCAAAAAATGGAGCTTATTTTTTTTGGAACTTCAGTTTTTAACCGCTGTAGCATGACTTATCATGTGAATTGTACCTCGTTTTTGCAGAGAATGCCCTGAGGAATGTAGGGTGCCTGTGGCATGTCTTATGTATGCTGCTGCAAGGTTCTCTGACCTGCCTGAACTGCGCGAACTTAGGGACATATTTGAACAGAGATATGGAAATTGTTTAGAAGCTTTTGTCAACCAGAAGGTAATGCCTATCCACACACACACACACACCCACACACATATGAAGTTGATCAAATGAGGACTAGTTGGAAAGGTTACAATAATCATACTAGTTGCTTAATCTTTAATCATTATATACATGCTTGATTTTTGTTTTTTGCTAGTTTGTTGAGAAACTATCTTCGAGGCCTTCTACTTCCGAAAAGAGACTCAAGGTACTGCAAGATATAGCTTCAGAGTTTTCGATAAAGTGGGATTATAGGGGTTTTGAAAGGAGAATGACTGCCCCTTCAGCAGTTGCACAGGTACAAACTGTAAATTATTTACGGTGTCCTATCATTTTAAGGAAAAGGTTGAGGAGAACTAGAAATGTAAATGTAGGCCTGAATTTCTACCCAATCCTTACACACCGCATTCTGAAAGAAAAGAGGAAAATTATTGTTACTTATGATATGCACCCAGGTACATTTGCAAAAAGTGGACGTAGTAAAACAAAGCCCTGGGCTTTTGGAAGAGAGAAAAGGCAGAATACGCGAGGGTGGAGCAGATAACAACAACTCTAGACGAGACGAAGCTTATGGAGTTACTGAATACAAGGAGAAGTCAGCCTTAAGGAGGGATAATAGAACTGACCTTAAGCAATCATATCTTATCGAGAAAAGTGACTCAAAACAGAAGGTGGAAAAGTCCAATGAAAAGGTAGAGCTTGCTCCAAACCCAAGCAAAGGAGAAAGCAAACAAACAGTATTTCGTGAAAAGGTAGAGCTTGCTCCTAACCGTCTGGAAAGAACTGAAAACGACATTCCCAGTTCTGCTCTCCCGCCACCATATGTCAAATCAAATGACAAAAATATCCCTCCTCCCCCATATATGAAGGCCAAAGAAGATAAATATGGACACGGTAAAAAAGAACAAAATAACGGCCGTTTAAAAGAGCTAGAGGCGATTCCCCCCTTACCGAGACCACGTTCGACTAGAAAAAAACACCACAAATTGCCGAATGACTCTACCGATGAAGAGCATGAAGGGAGGAGAAGGGAACATTCTAGAAAGGGCCTGCAGATATTGTTTGACGAGGACCACCACCACAAGAAGGATGAAGAGGAGAGGATGATCGATAAACTTTTAATGCATTACAGCAAGAAGCCTTCGAGCTATGAAGATGCCGGGAATTTGAGGAAAAAATCGCCTCGTAAAAAACAAAATCCCGATCTTGGCGAATCATCTGTTGCCGCCTATCCCACGAGATCTGTTTCTCTTCCTCACGAGCAGCATCATCAAATTACTTCACCACTGCCTGAAAAGAAGGTTTTCACCCGAGCCAACACTTTCGAGCAGGATCGTAACCAGGCGCGCCATGTGCATCCCAAGCTGCCTGATTATGATGATTTAGCTGCGAGGTTTGCAGCCCTTAAGGGTGGATAATTGGTAAAAATTGTGTTCCTTTGAGAAATGTGGATTAATTGATTAGGTCATATGAATTTAATTTTTGGATGTTATTGACCTGAGATTGTGAATTTGTTGATGCTTTAGAACTTGTGCATGATATGATGCTTACTGCAATTCAATTGTTTAGTGCTGATGAATGTAGGATGTTGTGGCTTGTGAGTGTTTTGTATTTTTCAGTTCAGATTGTGACCATTTATACCTGGAATTTAACATGGAAGCCTTATGTATCTCATAAATTGAGATGGGTATGTGTTTCCCTAGTTTGTGCAGTTTATGACATAATGGTACTGTAATAGCTAAACATGTTTTGTAGATTTAAATGATGTTAATTGATAAGAGAAGTTGGTTGGAGTTATAGCTAATAGTTGATAATTGAGAAATTAATTGNTGCAAAAAAATAAAATAAAAATCAAGCTGCAGAACAAAAACTTTGTATTAAGACCAATATTTAATGTATCTTCATGAATTGGGCTGACATTCATAATAATAATAATAATACTAGAAAGCTTTCACTGTGCATAGCACAGCTGGCCCAATTTAATCATTAATATTAAACCTTTTATTAGTAATCAATATTTGGCCTTTGATATTGAGAGAAGATATTTTTTAATTAAAACAAATCACTCATATTGCTACGTAGAAATTGATTTAAGCATAAAAATTTTGCAAGGATATATATTTTAAAATTTTGGTTTAGAAACAAAACCAAATGTAAAAGTCAAAGTCAATGTACAATTGTCAGGGTCAATTAAAACTTGAAAGTTCATGGTGCACAGTTAATTAGAATTAATGGGCTGTAAGGAGAGTTTTTTTTACAAAGACTTGCAACAACTCATCTGTCAGCCTATCCATGAATACAGTTAACCATCTCACGAAAATTTAGATACTCTTCTCAACTAATTGGTCAGATAAATCATTTATCAAACTAATTTATCATACTGCAAACGAAAAAGCAACTAAAAAAAAAGTGACGAAACTATCTCAAATACAAATATCAGGTGTGAATACTCCTATCGGAAAGACTTTTTATCGGTCTTTGTTGAGTAAATATTTGAACCTTCATGCATTCATTCTTAGCCGCACTCCTTACTATTTTTTTTTTTCCCAAGGGATTATTAGATGACAACCCTTTTTGTCACTCGAATTAGCACCACCTGATCGAATCTCCTGCGGCGGCCCAATGCCATTCTATCAATATCTTTGTGAGTTTACCAAAACGCAAAATAAAGTAGTAGTCCAAAAATAAACTAAGGCAATCAACTGCCAGCGAAAAGAAACGTCTGTTTCTAGAGGTAAAACAAAATGGTGCCAGAAATACACAATTCAACTGCATGCGATTTAATTTTGAGTGGATCCAAAAATTCACAATTCAACTGTGAATACAACAAAATGGTGCCATGAACTATAAATTCTAAAAGTCGTGTAAAAGAACCATGTTACATATGTTGAGCAGTTGTACATGTAAAATGTCTAATTTGTGTCCACAACCATATAGAAGAAATTGATCAAGTGAAACAATACAACTATACAAATATTATATCAATGGAGTATACAATTACAATAAAAGACAGGTGGAAAATAAAATGGTTTGTCGTTCTCCATTGATATAAGGACATGCAAATTGTATCTCTCATATTTCACTTTAGAAACCTGTAAGTTTTCACATTGTGGCAGCTTTAGAACTCCAATTATTACAATGTCAATTCACTCCACATTAATTGGAACAATCAAATGAAGAAAACTTGCACTCCAATTCTAGATAATTGTCTCTTTTTTACTATCTAAAACAGAAGAAAATAATATGCATCATTACAACTAAAATAATGAAAAGATAAAAAAAGTGAAATATATGAATTTATGAGTATAAGGCATGCAACTAAAAACAATATTCATATTGATTTATATCAGGGAAAAAAACCGACAATATATACCAACTCACGGGTTCTTATAATTCTTTTAAGCTTCTAATAGACACTACTCTAAAGGTCAAAATCCTAGTACCCAGAATGAATCAATTCTATATTTGTGACCTATAGTTGTGTCCTAATTTTTCCAAGTTTACCAAAGAAATCAATATGCCATTTGACAGTTTTTTACAACATAGAAAACCTTGATACGGAATTCTGCACATTATTTACATACATAATATTTTAGTTTTACTTCAATAATTTGGGAAATATATTTGGAGCACTCGTGACAAATACCATTTCATATAAGGTTTAGCATATAGACTTGCAACACTTCCAGCTCCTACATTAATGAAAGCAAGTCGACCACAAAACAAGTCAAAATATTATGATCAGCCATATCAATTCAAGATACACTCTCCCTATTCCAAAATCTACCATACACAAAAAACAAAAAAAAAAAAGTCAAAATTGAAGCCTTCCACACACTAAACAAAACATTCAACAACCCAAATGGGTAAAGTCCTTCCATTATGTTTGTACTTCGATTTGCTTGAACCACTTTCATTTTTAAAAATCAACCAAATACACACATACCATTCCATGGGGCATAATAATGAAAAAACAATTAGTGCAAACATACTTTTCTTTGTCTTTCCAAAACCTCCTCCCTCTTGGAAGCTTGTTCCGCGCTCTCATGAAGTCTCGACTCCATCAAAAAACTAAATCGCAACAAAAGCAAGTTATACCACATAAGAATTCCCAATCCAAAATTTGCGAGCACACCTCATAACAAAAGAACTTTTGAAAACCAATCAACAAAATGGAACAAACCTTCTCCAACTCCCCATTTCTTTGAATATTTTTTATCGAGGGGCCCTGCATGCGACAGCGACCTTGAGACGCACCACTGCTTGGGCGACTGTTTTTTCTCCACCGGAGGATGAGACGGGGAAGGAGACGAACTGGAACTATCCGATCCAACCATAATCCTTTATAATCAATCAACACCTCGCAGATAAACTCCAACGCTAAACCTACTCAAATTCAACTCCATACCTAAATCAAAGTGAGAAAGCAAAAAACTAAAACTCTAACCCGCCAATTAGTGCCTAAAACTCAATTCTGATGCAAACAAGCAGAAGAAAAAATCCGCCTTAGAAAAAAAAAATTATCACAATCTCTCTTCAGGAAGAAATTCCAAACCGATCACACAAACTTCTAAAACCTGTAGAAAATAAATTCAAATAAAATGAACGCTGAAAATTCACGCACATCGAACCTTGATAATCCCACCGAGTCTGAGAAGAACCCGAACTCCTCGGCATCGTCGGATCTGTTGTTGCTCTTGATGTTGCCGTTGAACTCGAACCACACGACGACAGAAAAATGAGACCCAGAACGAAAAAAAAAAATATCGAAGAGATTTGCTGACCGCGCCTCGCAACGCGGCAAGTTTAAATTTATAAAAGTTTTCTTCAACTAACCTCTACTAACTAGTAGTAGTGGCGAGTAAGGGTCGATCCCACGAGGAGTAAAAATTAAATTGTGAATCTAATAAAATAAGAGAAGTCCAGTTTTTCGGTTCAGTTATCACCCAATCTCAATCTACCGTTAATTAATTTTGACGCTTTCTTCAAATTGCTAATGAATTACCGACCCTAGCTAACAACAAGCTCTGTTACCCGAATTTTCCCTTACCGAATATTTAATCGAAATAGGCTCTTCGACTAAACCTAACTAGCGGACAACCTAGAATAAGCTATCTAGATTTAATACACTAGCAGCATTAATTTCTAGGAAAATAGATCAGTCTAAGCAATGGACGCAAAAGTTCGGACCATTTAACTTATGCTCATGCTACCCTAGAGATGCACAATCCCTAGTTTACTACTAAGGAAACGAGACAATAACAATTACGGATTAAAGCTTCGAATCTAGCAATTAAACCATGAACATTTAACGTAGTTGGCCAGACTAAATCAAACACCATAATTTATAAACATTAAATATAGATAACATGAATCAACTCATCAACAAAAATAAATATGACGTCTCAATTAACCAACAATAAATAGAGATTATCCAATTCATAGACAAATCGGAATTAGAGTTCAAACATCCCCTCAAACTGGATAAAAGTACTAGCTTAACATATTAATAAAAATAAAAAATAAATAAAAGAGAGAATAAAATCTCCCTCGTGTGAGTGCGGCTTCCCTCCGCGTGTGTTTTCTGTCTGGCGGGCGGCTTTTCTTTTCCTTTTCTTTTCTGCGTTCTTTTTCTGTTCTTGGCGTGAATAATTCCCCAATCTGTACGTGCGTGGCCCTCTCTCTTGGAAATAATTCCTCACCAAAATATATATCACAGCCAATCAAAATCCTCCCAGTAAATAAATCTTGGTTGTCCTTGTCTCTTTAGGACTCAATGCGGAAAAAAAAATCCACCGGGGCCAAAATCACTAAATCATCACTATTGGGGCAATTTTGTGAATACCTTTAAGTCCAATTCATCAATTTTCCTCCTGCCCACGTAGCACCATATGTTGGATCATTTTATATCCATTCTTGGTACTAATGTATATTGAGAGCTCAATAATTGATTGCGTGAATTTCCGTTCAATGTTTCGCGTACACAGAATACTCCAATGAGCTGAAAATAAATAATAAAATAATCAAAGCAAAATAATCCATCCAAGCAATAAATAAGTCAAAAAATACAAACGTGCGAATAAATTAACTGTAAAAAATACACTATTAAGAATATAAAACATGCACATTTTTCGACCTATCATTTGCAGAGAAAATAAGGACGGGAGATTGAGATTTAGAGGCTTCAAAATCGGTGGAACGAAAAAAAATTGAAGATATTTGCATAGGAAGAAAGATGGGCAGATTCCGATTTGAGGGCTAGAAAAATTGGGTGTAAAAATTGTCTGCGGAGGAATTGAACGCTCAAGTTTAGAGGAATAAAAGGCACAAAACGTCGTCGTATTGATGAGGGCGATGTGGCTTCATAAGGAGAGAAAGGACACGTGTCAAAAATTGAAGGTAGAGCTTTCTTTTTATAGATAAGAGAATGAGAAAAGCAGAAAAAATCGATTGAAAAATGCAGTCTGAGATTTGGAAAAATAGACAAAAACAAAAACGAGGGGCTCATGTTTGTCCCATTTTTGTTGCGTTTCTCGTTGTCTTTTTGTCTTTCTTTTTCCCCATTTTAGGTCGTTTAGATGAGTTTTAGTTCATTTTATAGTTTAGTTAGCGTTTGCTCTCTTCTTGGTTTTTCTTGTGTTTTTCCGTTTGTTTTCCGTTTCTTTCGTCGTCGTTGGTGTGTAGGTTGGATGTCTTGGGAGAACAAGATTTCGGAAAAGTACTAGCTGGGCAAGCCTAATCAAGTAGAGGAGTTCGTTGGGAACACACAGGAAAAAGCGGAATCGAATTCCGAGTTGAAACGAACTCAAACGGGCCCGAGAGGCAAAGTCGTGCGAGCTGTCCAGTTTTAGTCGCCGCGGCCGCGGAGAAGGATAAGTCGCGGCCGCGAGGGTCCCAAAACAGCCCAAAACGTTCCATTGCTGGCCAGTCGAGCTCGCGGCCTCGGAGATGGTCGCGGCTGCGGACCTTCCTTCACCGCGGCCGCGGAGGTCGCGACAGCAGGATTTTAAAATCAGTTTTCAGATTCGTTTTTAAGGAGTTTTTGGCGAGGTTTGAACACCTCTCGACCGGGGTGAAAACCCTAGGTCCCGAGAAAACACAAAATCTCTTTCTCCTCTTTTCTTTCTTCTTCTTCCTCGTTCCTTTTCTTCTATTTTCCATTTTTCTTCTTCTTTTTCTTAGTTAGGGATTAAGCTTGTAACTCGAATTCAACATCTAAACTTGGATTGATTGTAAGTATTTCTTTCTCTTGTTTAATTCATGAATAATGGTTGACTTGAGTAGAATGATTATATTTGGTGAATTTGATTTATGTAGCTAATTCCTTCTGCTAGGGATAGGGGATGATTGTTCTTGATTAATTTCGTTATTATTGGGCTTTAATTTGTTCCTGCTTGTGCGAGTTGCTTTAATTAGGGTTAATTAATTCGTACTTGATAACTTGATATAATCGAAGGGTGACACTTCGATCTTGCAATTGGTATCAATTGAATGTTAATTTGTCGAGTTAGGGTTTGTTGGTTCTATATGATTAGTTGATTAAACACCTTCTAGTTGAATTAGCGACTTTTAGAACCGAAAGGGGAGAAGTCGTAGACCTAGGCTCGCATGAGATAGATGATTTCGTAACTGAATAGTCTATAGGTTTTGGATTGAAATACATACTTGCCGATGACCCGTCTCTTGTTACGAAAAGTTACTGAGACTGGGATAATTGACATGTGTTGTATGCTCGAGCTGGCTCGTCTATGTTCAATCCCTTGTTACGAAGAGTTATTGGGAGCGAACCGCTAGATGTCTAAGCGAGAGTGTCAATCTCGAACCGAACAATTGATTGCCCGGTTTTGCTTAGAACTTGAATAAATTATCCCCGATTTCCTAGCTTCTTTATCGCTTTCTAGTTCGTACTTTAGGTTCGTTTTTGTTTGCCGTTGATTTCTTAGTTGATAATATATTCCTCATTTCTGATTAGAGTGTTTAGGTTTTTATTTTCTTTTTGTGTGAAATCAATACCGAAGTTAAATTCCGAACCGCCTTCCTCGAGAGATCGACCCGGGAAACGAATCCTTGATTCGGTACTCGGTAAAATATAACAATTTGTACACAACAGCTCATATATTCTCTATGTAGGTTTCTTTTTCATTTTTTTAATGATTTTTTTGTTCATGCTGAATGTCATTTTATTGAGGGGTTTAAAGTTTACACTTCCCGTATTTATCACAATTTGTGCATTTTCATTTATATATATATATATTTTTTTTTTAAAAAGACTGCAGGAATGTTTGATATTACCCGTTACAACCTTTATCACAAGGAAAGCCATGATAGCTGCATACACTGCGAACGCATGTCTTCCAAGTTCTTGCATTTGCTTGAAGAATTGCAAGGAGAAAGTTCCGATAACTTTACATTTTCCAGTAATGCTAAGGAGCCAACTGTTGGTTCCGTTGGGACAGCCCCATTGACAGTTGGCTCCGTAACGGAGCCAACAGTTGGCTCCTTAGCATTATTAATGCTTAAAGCTAATCGACAAGACGGCACACTAATCTGACAAGAATTGCCTGCGTAGCTATAACTTCCAATTTCTGATAAAAAACTGTGAGTCGGCACACCCTATAAATTTGCAGCAAACAAGGTTATCAACAATAAAAATTGAACAATGTACAAAAATGAAACCCTTTTCTTCTTGTGACAGCAATAAAGCAAAGATAAATTCCAAGGACACCTCTCAATTCCAAAACTTACACATAATCCAATTGCTAGCAGCAGACAACACAATGACCAAAACCCAAAACTATAAATAATCCCACTCACTAAGAAACAACACAAAAAACTTTAGATCAAAACCTGCAAAGCATTCAAGCATTAGCCACTATCTTTTCGTCAAACTCAGTATGAGACTCACCTCTTCCCTCACTTCTAGAAACTTCCTCACCACCTTCCCCAAATTCCCCTTCTTCCTCATGCTTATAACTCGAACCATACATCTTTCTCCTTGCCTCCCTACGTGCAGCCTTCTTCTCCAACTTGAGCTCTTCGAATTGCTTCTCAAAATTATACTCGTCCTCGGGTGAAAAGAAGACAACCTCCATTTCGCCAAGCTCTTGGTACATCTTCTCGATCTTTGTTTTCCAGAAGAGGCCCATCTCAGTGTCCATCTTATGGTAGGGTGTTTTTAGTAAATACTCGTCTATGCCACCTGCCTTGTCTATGCAGCGTAGAGTGTGGGTTGTTATCTTAACACGGATGTGCCTGTCTAATACATAGCTGAAAAGCCGCTTTTCTTGCACGTTAGGCTTCCAGCTTCTCCTTGTCCTAAAAATTTGCAACAAGTAAAGAAGCATTTTGGTCACATATATAACAAAAATAAATTAGAATTTAGGAAGAGATATAGCAATGTGACACTGAATGCAATAACTCCGTGATTTAATGTCAAATCGAAATGTATTAATCAATGAATCAAGGATATCGAGATCCCGATCAAGAAGAGAAAATTAGCAGGAGTTAATATATAAGCATGGAAAATTTTAAAAGGTAAAAAGTCAGTTCTCCTGGTGAAACTATGCCGATAAAAAATGAGATAAATATATGCATAATTGACAAAGTGATCCAGAAAAGATAGCTTGATATAACGTCCAAGTTTCGTGGAGCAAAGTAGCCGATCAGAAACAACTCCGAACAAAGTGCTTATCTAAACTATTTGAACTTAGCATCACTAGTTCACAGCAGCAGAAACTAATGTACATAATATCTTAGTACAATACCTTTAGTTTTAAATCAAATAACCTTCATGCTTCTACACGAGGTCGAAGACTAAACTGAACAAGGCAAATGACATGATTAACAGAAGATTAGTCCATAGTTTTGAAACTTCCACATACTTTTTTCAGTTCCAAAGCCACAAGTTCACACAACAAATATATATAAAATAATAATAATCACAAAACATAAATCAAATTAATCGGCCACCATCCTTTCCTCCCATACACTTAGTTCAAGAATGATTCTTTGGCATCTCTGTATCTTAGTATAAGACTGGTAAACTAATTAACATTTAACCGAAATTTATTAAAACTTCAGTTCTCCGTCAAAATCTTTCACATATTTTTACCATGTCCTTCAAATCCCTCCAAAAATGGGGAAAAAACACGCATAACTGGACATACACAGACTATGAGAAAACTGAAAAAAAATAAAGGACAGCAAAGAAATATATAAACAGACTTGTTGCCGCCGTCTTCACTGACGCGATTCCCAAACTGGATATGTCGGCCCGCGTAAAGCCCGCGGTGAGCTCGGCCCATCACGACCTTTCTATCCGGCACCGATTTTTTCAATTGCTCTTTCACTCCAGGCGCTAGATTCTGTTCCCCGCCGATTTTCTTCACAATCTTCTTCATCATTTCGCGCGACCTGAACGCCATTGTATAATGAAATTACTTTCTCTGCAAATCCTGTAGTCTGGGTAAAATGAATAGATAATTGATTTGGGGTTTTTGTCATATTAGGGGGTGATTGTTATTGATCCAACTCGTTTTTATTTGGTTTATTTTTTAATTATAGTTTAATTTAAAAAAATGTGATCTTGTTAATGGATATATTAAAATAATATTTAAATAAAATAATTAAAATTGATTTGATGTAAAGTAAAAGAAAAATAATTGGAAGTGATAGTTAGTTAAAATTATATAACTGGATGAATAGTAAATTAAAGTTGATGTGATTTGTAAGAATAATTGGTTGATATTATTCAAATATATTAATAATATTAGAGATAGTGGGTTGCATGAAGGTTAAGTTTTGATTGATTTTTTTAATGTAGAAACTATATCCAATCGGCCCCTTAAGGGATGATACATATCATTTTTCTCAATATTTTTAATAAAATTTAAATAATATTTTGTATGCAAAATACCTCCGTCCAGTTGAAATCGACTTTGGTATGAGCTTCTTCGCTGGTTGAATGCTTTTAGACTTGCAAAAACTCTCACACGGGAGGAGAAATTGTTTTCCGTTTGATGCTTAAATTATAGATGAAGTGCATTGTATGGAATAATAGAGAATGTAATGTGTGAAAGAGCATACCTCACCCCTTATATATGGATTGTTATCTTGTTGTCGAATACTGCACGAATGGGCTGACCAAGTTGCTCGAACTGCCCGATAGTATAGCCCGAACTGCCCGAACTGTCCAATTTTGCTATAGGCCCTATCCACGTGTGGCTTTTAACCCCTCAAAATTCCTTCTTATCCCTCTGTATTTCAGATTAGACTGTCTAATATGGTGCGACAAACTCGAGGTAGTTTAAAGTAGAATGTTGTCTATTCTAAGCCTAAGTCATCCTTTTTGGTCGATCGCACAACGAATCCGCACATATAGGTGCGCTGTCCCTCTCTATATAATACATTTATTTATTCTCATTATATATACAATCGAATTGAAATTACAATAATGAACTGAATGTGTTGTATATTTTTATATATAAAACTACTAATTGAACTAAATGCAAACATAATCAATGCAAAATACAAAATTCTATATTATTATTCTTATCTTTATCTATTGAAATACTATATGTTATCTGTTCACGCAGGTTTATAAAATTGATTGTTCAGCTTAGAAATGGAGAGACAGTATTTTAACTACGTAGCGTAAAAGAGCATCATTAAACTACATGTTACTTGAATTTATTAATATAAATTTTGTCACTATAAAAAATCAAATATATATCACATAATTTTATTTATAGTTTTGTTTTGCTACTCCTAATCGATAATGGAATCCCGTTTCAAGCCACAAAACAACCTTGGCATCATTAATGAGCAATCGAGTATTAACCGAGATCACCACATCATAATTAATAATCTTGAAAAAGTAGAGGAAGTAGAAGAAGAAAAAGAGCTCGACTCAAGTGATTCTTCACCTGCAGCTTCTCCTCCACCATTCACACCATTGCAAGATATGTCTTCCAATGAAGTAAGTTCAATTTGGAGCAATATGTTTAGTTCAATTTAATTAGTTTCTTTTGTGACCTAGTTGGGGTGAGCAAAGCTGAAGTAAATCTGAAAAACCGAGACCGAAATGAATGGCTACATGGAAATATATATAATCCGAAAAAACTAGTTTGTATGGTTTTCGTTTGTATACTTCATGGAAATATATATATAATTGCTGGTAAGATTCAATAAATTTTATTCAACCAACAATTAATAAAAATAGAACTTCATTTAATAAAAATCTTTATGACTAACATTTAAATTACAGTTACACAAGTAAAATCTTATTATTATAAATTTTTTATTCGGTAACAGTTTTACAAGATTTCAATTTTTCTAAATATACAATATTAAATTATTTTACAGCTGATATTCTTATTTTGTATTATAGTTATACAAAACCAAAAAATAAAAAAAATAATTTATATGGAAGTTAAATAGTTTATATTTATATTATACATTTACGTATGGCCAAAATTTTAAAATGTAATACACGATTTATCCAATTTAAATTTTTATATATCATATACTACATATAATATATAAATTTTTGTTTCTCACTGTACATGTGCACAAGATCGAATACCAGTTTTAGATTAAATGTTGCAAATATTACTAAAGTTTTCATTCAGTATAAAATGAAAATAGTCTTTTTTATTTGGTTTGGTATAAGGAAAATACAAGTAAATTTTGCAATTATTCGGACTCTGTTGCAAAGTGAATCTTAAATTGTAGAGACAATTGCATATTTTGTTTCACATATAGTTCCCAACACTTTTGACGCCAGTATTTGTAGTTGGCTACAGAAAAAAATCTGGCAAAAGGCTAAATTATTGTAATTTTTGTCCCACAAAAAACTACTTGCAGCAATCTTGGTCCAAATTACTGAAAACCTATTCTTGCGTGTCCAAATTGAATGACGAGTAGAAATTGAAAGCTGAGTCATATTTATGGGACCAAAAGTGTCACGATCTCAAACTGAAAATATTCTCTAAGACGCAACAATTGATAATAATCAATTAAATTATTCTCATCTGTGAATCTGATCTCTTCT